GTAGAGTGTGTTTTTGCCAAATTCTGAATTACAGTAGCTACTGAGTCTACCATTTGAGGAAGCAAATTAGATGAAATTTTGGGCATTTATTGGAAAGTTCAGGAACCTGGAAATTGGAATGAGGACATGTCTGTTCAGATATAACCTGAACTCACTAGGCAGCACTTATCATCATAAGTAGCTCTTCCTCTCTTTGTGAGGCTGCACCTGTCTTGCTACTACACAACAAAATGGATGAATCTCAAAATCATTATCCTGAGTCAAAACAAGCCAGACACAAATGAGTATATACGATATGATTCCTTTTGCATGAAATTCTAGAAAAGGAAAATGAATGTATAGTAACCGAAATTGAGGAAGACAGTTCCCAGATGGAAGTGCACAGGAAGTTAAGAAAAGTGGTCCAATATAATTTGGCTCTCAATAGATGGAGATTTACCTCAAGGACTCAGTCATATATGGTTTTGAATACAAGGCTATCTTTAAGAGGGGCAGCATGCCCCTGAACTTTTTATAAAATGATCACCACCCACATGAGGACAGACGCCTGGTAAATACCAAATTTTCCCTGAATACCTGATAGGATGGACTCACTGTGAGGTCAAGATCAAGGTGAAGTAACAGTCTTCCTTTACCTAGGTGGATTTACCAAGTACCAGGAAGCTCAAAGTTATCACCAGAAGAGAAGGATATGTACAAACATCTGCTGTTGGTTGGTTAAAACATACTCCTTGCTCTGGACACCTTGCCTGAGGAAATAGGCTTTTTGAGGATTTTTGTACCTGGAACTCTTTCTTCAATTTTAAGGTCTTTATGGTTTACTAGAAGTCATTCATTGTGAGAAGCTGAGAAAAAAAAAGTGAGGATTAATTGGCTTCTGACAGTAGTTCTCTCACTTCTCTCTTTCTAAATCCCGAAGGGTGATCCTAGTATAACTCACTTAAGAAAGGGGATGCCCACTCTTCTCAAAATCTTCCCCTGCAATCTCCCTTATTGACTCCAGGTCCATAATGGGAGTAAAAAAACAAGCTATGCTCAGAGGGGAACTGCAAGGTCTAATACAGAAATAAACAAAATACCAGAAGTACTCAAGATATTGCTCAACAGTACAAGCAGAAACTGGGTAACAAATATGAGGGTGGATCCTTGGGATATTAGAGCAAGAAGGATGAAATATGCTTGCATAGGGCCAAATTTATCAATATGAGTATACTTACCATGGATTTAGGAGCTGCCGATGCTGCATTTTATATCAATGGAATACAGAGTTCTCCAATGGGATCCTGATAAGTCTTTTAAAAAACTCTCTGGGTATTTCTGATGGGCAGCCAGTGTGGTTCTCAAACATGGCTTATAGGGATCTGTGGTGTTGGCTATTTGATCATGAGGTCTATTGAAATGAAATAGTTTGGCACCATACTAAAATATTTCTTGATATCTTTGGGCAGAAATTCTAGATCTTGTGGGCAGAAAACTAACACAAATCACTATAGTAGGGATGCAGATACTTATTCCTTGATATATCTTAGTTTATAGATAAGTGGCTTCAAGTGAAGGGGAAGCCTGGTCCCTTGGAGGAAATTCTTGATAACTTAGGTACAAGTTTATACCATGAATCATTCTCACAGTGTTCCCAAGGGATAACTTTGGCCATAGGCCAGCTGATTTTCATTCACACAGGGTCTTCAAGGTATGACAGCATCATCTCAAAGTGGATGACTGCTGCAATTTCATTTCCACTCAGGGGTGTTTCTGAAAGGCTGTGATGAAAAGAAATCTTCCCAGTGGATAGAGTTTAAAGAGGTGTATTTGGTTGTAAACACTGTGAGGAAGAGAGATGTCCTGAGTTTAGATACGTACTGAATCACGTCCAGCGGCTAACTGAGTTGACTGGTAGTCTGGGGCTAGGAAAGAATAACACTGGAAAATTGATAATGAGAATGTGTGGAGGAGACATATTTGTATGGACTTCTAGGAGTAGGCACAGGGTGGGGCATTATAGTGTGGAAAATAAGTGAGCTTTGTGTATTTATTCCTTTAGCTCCCTGTGCTGAGCCATGAGCAGGCCATTACAACTCTTAAGACCACAGCTCCTATTTAGATGGCCTTTTCTGACAGGTTTTGGTAATACTCTTTACTGCCACTCATTACCCTACTGTCACTAGTCACAGAGTGCTTCACAATCCTACCCATGCTTTGTCAATGGCTCCTTTTATTAGACTCTCCTCAACTGTCCCATTGTTTATGACAATTGGCCCTTCTTATATGAATATCATCTAATAGCCTCCCCAAATCAACTGACCATAAATTCCATGGAGGTAGGTTAATTTTATCTCTTATTTCATGTTGTTATGCCAGAATCTAGAACGATGTCTATTACACTGCAGGTTTTCATGAATGAATGTACGTACTGACCACTTCCTCTGCATACATGTTCTATAGGTCAAAGTCTATTATGATTGATTTAATACAGCTTCACGAGCATTTTTGTGCTTATTGTTTGTAATTGACAAAGAATTGTATTAAAAAAAAGTAGCCACACTTGTCATTATATGCATGGAAATCCAAAATAACTAATGTAAAAAAATTGTCAAAACACTAAGAGAATTCACCAAGAAACAATGTTAATCTATAAAACCCAATAGCTTTCCTCTACACGTCTACACTTGGCAACACCGGGCTCAGGCCCTTTTATATTCATTCACCAGGCTAGGATTTGGGGCGCCAGAAGGCTCAAGGGTCAGTGGGTCCTATGGTAGTAAAGGGACAGGGTGAAGGTTCCAGGTGGAACAATTATAAACTACAAAGCTACAATCCTAAATATTTCAGTTGTCTTGCCTTGAAAAATAAGTTAATTTTCCTATATAATTCTAATTTTTCACACTTAACAAACGTAACAGTAAATTTGCTTAATATTTCTAATACGAAATCTATATTCAAGTTTCCCCGATTATCTCTAAATTATCTTATAAATAAACGTGATTTCAAACCGTATGGGGTCGAGGACCATGCCTTGTATTTGGTGGTAGCGTTCAAGTTTAACCCACAGAGAAAACCCTGACAGGAAGGACCTTTAAGAACCTCATTCTCCAACGTCATGAAAATCCCAAAACGCCACAACAGTCACTTCTAAGAAAGGACGTGAAGGTTTATGGGAAATGCAGTCTTGTTTGTTCTAACTCACCGCGCGGCACGCTGGGAACGGAATTCTGGGCTCCTTCTGAGCCTGTGGAGCCGCAGCCCCGTTTCTTCAGTCCGAACTCAATTCCATTTTTCTCCGAACTCCTCTTTGTCTACTCCGGAAATACAGGATTCACACGTGGCGTGAGAGCGCGTGGGCCAGCCGGGAGGGGGGAACGGGACCCAGGAAGAGGGAACGTCCAGTCCCTGGGACCCGCCCCACACAGCCCTTAGCCCTGACCCCGCAGGCTCCCGGCACGCAAGTCGGGTGAGTCCTGGTCAGGAGAGTGCTTTGTGCGGCCGCGGCTTGCGGCATCTTGTGCCCGGCCCAGCCTTTAAGCCCGGCCGGGGAAAAGCCCGTGATGGAGCTGGGGGTGGGGAATGTGAGTTTATAACTTTGACGATGAACTTGCGGTAAAACGCGGGTGGTGTTTCTGCGGTGAAAGCTGGAAAGACGCAGGTAAATTCCTGGTCTGACGCCTGTAACCAAGGGCCATAAAGTAACCTGGTTACCCATTTGAAAATTAGAATATTAATAACGAGTGATTCGTGGTGGTGTTTTGAGAGTCAGGTACGCCATTAATTGTAAAACATTTAGAGAATGCAGGATACTAAGCCCTAAGTAAGTGACGAATGCTGTTATATTTAGAAGACTCTTTAAAGTTTTCACTGGGTGACTTATGTAATAAACCTCACAAGCACTTTATGAGGTCGGTTTTAACATATGCATTAAAAAAACAAAAACAGGGTCAAATTGGTGAAGTTGCGTTCTCACGTCACAAACTAGCGGTGGGAAATCAAGGATTCAATAGCAGGTGTGCGTCAGTCCCAACCTCAAGCCCTTTCTAATATCACACCTGCCGACAACCAGCATTGCAGCCTTCACAGCACTTACGAGTGACCTGGCTTCAAATCCCCAGTGGTATAATTGGAAGTGAATGTACATGGGATCCTACCACGTGGCAAATGGACTCTGGAATTTCTAGTGTCTCTTCAGGTCCCTTGGTTCAGACTGAAGTTCTTGGTCCCTCCTGCACTGGCAGGCTGTCTTTTAAGTCTGATGTAAGTGAATCCCAAGAGTCAGGTTTTTGGCCCTAAAATGAATTTGTTTCCCAGGCCCCAGATCGCCTGGAACAGAGCAGCCCTTGTGAAGCAGGAGGCCTCTGGGTACAGCAGTCTCATCTGAAAGAGAATGCCCCTCTGACATTTGCCGTATCTCCAGAGGTTCAGAGCAAGAGGCAGAAGAGCCCAGAAAGGAGCAGGTCCTAGATTCCTTGACAAGAAGCAGTTCTTGATCTCCTTGCCCCAAATGAGCCAGACTTGGTGATGTTGCCACCTCCAGAAGCCACCACAGACTGTGTGGCAGTGGAGGATTTGGGCCAGCTTTTGACATGAGTGAGGTGAGCTGGGATGGCCCAGGGGCAGGCTGCCCAGGAAAAGCTACTTCCTTGGAGAGCTTACAGGGCCAAGTCTGGGGGTGAGGCTCCTAAAGGACTCCTAATCCCTTCATTTTCACTCTATAAATTCCGTGCTGCGCTCATATGTGTTTATCAACATGCCTGACACCAGTGATGTTATCCTGACCTCACAGATCCCTGAATGATGGTTCATGAAGGGTTTCAAGGTCATCTACTTCTGACTCATTTAAAAGCTTTAAAGAAATGGGACCTGAGAGTGTCAGTGAATTGTCCATGGCCACCTAGTTTGTGACAGTCAGGAGTCACAGGTCAGTAGCCAAAAGCCTCTGATCAAAACATTTAAAATTCTTTGTAACACACCTATATCCTCACTCAAGTTAAACAGTATTACCAGGAACATAGTTAAATGTTGCAGCCTGAGTATTTTCTGCTATACTAATTTTAATGGAAGAAGACTGTCTTATTCTTTGTTTTCTTTAATTTTATTACTCCTCGTTTTATGGTTTTTTTTCTTTTAATTGATTTTAAGAACACAAAGTATTGCTAAACAATAGAAAAAAAAGTTTATATTTAACCAAAGAAAAGATGCATGTTCAAATACACATGATCACTTCAGAGTCTCATGTGGACAGGTGTTGCTGTCTATACCTGGTCCTTTTCAAGGGCGAAAGGGCCATATCCTCACAGGGAGGCTGCTCCCCAGCTAGGGTGCTGAGATTTTGGCAGGTGAGTCTAGTGACCCCAGTCATCTTTCTATCCCCACAGCTGAACATTCAGTTTTCCTCGCTCTCTCAAGAGCTACAGAAAATGAACACACCTCAGGTGAGCTCTTTATTCACTTCCTACTTTGTATTGTAATGTATTTATGACGTTTATAAGGGTCCATACATTAAATAGAGGAGGAGAAATAGATCAAGTCAGTGTTGAGGGAAAGTACACAGTTTCCCCGTTAACTCTAAAGTTTACTGTCTGCTTTTGGTAGATAACCTTTGTCAGGGTAAGTAACTTCCTTCCAGTTACCAGTTTGCTTAGATTTCTGTTTAGTCATGGATGTGTACTGAGTTAGAGTGGGTACATTTTCAGTATTTATCGGAACAACGACACAACTTCTTTAATCTTTAAGGGAAAAATTTTGAATAGCATAATGGTTTTCTCATGTTTGTTTATTCTTGAATTTCTCTACAGACCCTACGGGGTAACAAGTGTGGTGAATTAACTTTTTTTTTAAATTATAGTAAATGCATTTATATAATAAAATATTTGCCATTTTAACATTTTTGATATGTACAAGGCAGTGACATTAATTACGTTCATCATGTTGTGCAACCATCACTACTGTTTCCAGATTTTTCTATCACCCTTAGCAGAAACTCAGTGCCTCCTAAGCAATGACTCCCCCTTTTCCCATCCCTGCCCTTAGTAATCACTAGTAAACTTTATTCTCTAGACATTTGCCTGTTCTAGATATTTCATGTAAGTGAGATTATACAGTGTTTGTCCTTTTGTGATTGACTTCTTTCACTCAGCCTAATGTTTTCAAGGTTCATCCATGTTATGGCATTTATCAGGACTTCATTTCTCTTTATGGCTGAGTAATTTTCCATTGTATGTATATGGTACATTTAGTTTATCCATTCATCTGTTGATAAATTTAGATCATTTCCACCTTTTTACTCTTGTGAATAGTGCTGTGATGAACATGTATACAAGTATACCATGGGAGAAAGATGTGGCAGTCTGCTTTCATAAAGATTTACAGCCTTGGAAACCCTATAGGGCAGTTCTACTCTTTCCTGTAGAGTCGCTATAAGTCAGAATGACTCAACTTTTTTTTTTTTTGGTTTATAAAATATCTGCTTGCATTCTTGCCTTCAATTCTAGGTACATATATCGAAGTGTGGAATTGCTGGGTCATATGGTAATTTTATGTTTAATTTTTTGAGGAACCACCAAACTTCTCCACAGCGGCCATACTATTTTACAATACTACCAGCGATGGGTGAAGGTTCCAGTTTTTCCACATCCTCATAAACACCTGTTGTTTTTCTTTTTCTTTTTTTTTTTTAAATCATAGCGATCTTAGTGGGTGTGAAGTGATATCTCATTGTGGTTTTGATTTGCATTTCCCTAATGACTAATGACATAGAGAATCTTTTCATGTGCCTGTTGGCCATTTGTATATCTTGTTTGTTGAAATGTCTATTCAAGTCCTTTGTCCGTTTTTTAATTGGGTTGCTTGTCTTTTTGTTGTTCAGTTATAGGAATTCTTTATATATTCTATAAATTAAGCCCCTATCTAATATATGGAGTCCCAAAATTTTCTCCCAGTCTGTAGGTTGTCTCCAACTCTTTTTTTTTTTGAAACATTATAAACATTTTATTTTATTTCTATTTTTTTATTGTACTTTAGATGAAGGTTTACAGAACAAATAGTTTTTTGTTGAACAGTCAGTACACATATTGTTTTATACATTGGTTAACAACCCCACGACATGTCAACACTCCCTTCTTGACCTTGAAGGACCTTTTTTTTTTTTGGTTGAAAATATACATAGCCAAAGTTAACCATTTCAGAAATTTCTGTGTGTACAATTCAGTGACATCGATTACATTCTTCCAGTTGTGCTGCTATTCTCACTATCCTTTTCCAAATTATTCCGTCGCCATTATCTTCAACTCACTGCCCCCTAGGCTTCCCATCAAGCCTTTTGAGTTGCTGTTGTCAATTTGATCTCACATAATTCTTTTTTTTTGTACCTTAGATGAAGGTTTACAAAACAAATCATTTCTCATTAAACAGTTAGTACACATATTGCCCTATGACAATGGTTAACAACCCCATGACATGTCAACACTGTCCCTTCTCAACCCTGGGTTCCCTATCACCAGCTTGCTTATCACCTCCTGCCTTCTAGTCCTTGTCTCTGGACTGCTGTACCTCATTAGTCCTGTTTTGTTTTATAGGGCTGTCCAGTCCCTGTCCAGCTCTCTTGATAAAATTTTATGAACAAATGGTTTTTTTTTAAATGATGTCCAGTTTATCTAATTTGTCTTTTTTTGCTCATGCCTTCGGTCTCATATGTAAGAATCCCTATTAAAAATTGCATCCTGAAGCACTAATCCTATGTTTTCTTCAAAGACTTTTTTGGTTATATTTCTTATGAGTTAATTTTCATATATCTTGTGAAGTATGAGTCCAGCTTCATTATTTTACATATAAGATCTTGTTGTTCCAGCATTATATGTTAAAGAGACTTTTCTTTCCCCATTGAATGGACTTAGAACCCTTGTTGAAAAAGAGTAGACTAGATTTATGAGTTTATTTCTGGAATCTCAATTTTATTCCATTGGTCTGTCTGTGTATCATTATTGCAGTACCAGGCTGTTTTGATTACTATAGCTTTATAGTATGTTTTAAGATCAGAAGTGCGAGACCCCCTACCTTGTTCTTTTCAAGATTGCTTTGGCTATTCAGAGCCTCTTACTGTTCTATATAAATTTGAGGATTGGCTTTTTCACTTCTGTAAAGAAAGCTTTTGGAATTTGATGGGGATTATGTTTAATCTTATAGATTGCTTTGGGTCAACTAACATCTTACCAGTATTAAGTCTTCCAGTCCATGAATACAGAATATCCTTCCATTTATTTTTGTTGTTAGCTGCCATCGATTCAGTCCTGATCCATGGCAACCCTATGTACAACAGAATGAAAAGCTGCCCAGTCCTGTGCCATATCCCAATAATCAGTTGTCAGTAATTTTAAAAGTTTTAAAAATACAGATGCTTCTCACCAGAAATGGAAAATATATTTTTATAGTGGCTGTAAAAAACGGCATGGAGGTGGCGTCTGACCTCCAGCCCCACAAGGGGAATGGAGAACCAAGATCAGCAGCACAAGGCTGACTCCCATGAGGTGGAGGCCAGACAAGCCTGCTCTCTCAGCCATCTGTTCCAATGCTGACACCAACTGTCCCTCCCACAGTGCTCCCTACTGGGTTTGGTAATTCATTGCAGTGGCTGTATAGAACTCATAGACCATACAACTACAGGGTTTATTAGGGAAGCGACAGTTAACAATTCAGGCTCAAGAACACTCAGGATACAGTTCTTCCATCAGAATAGCCTCTTCCCAGCTGTGCCTACAGGCATGCCTCTCCCTGGCTCTCAGTCTCTGCCCAAAGGCACTCACCTGTCTCTCTCCATAGGCCAGGAAGCCCACTGTGCTTTTTCCTGCTGCTGGGTCTCTGCTGCTGCGTCTCTCCTGCTGCTCTCTCCTTCCTTGGTGGTGGTGGGCTCCTCCCTCTGCTCTGGAATTGGCTGTCTTTTAAGGCAAAACTGACCAATCCCCTTGGTAGGGTACAATTACCCTATCACACAGTAACTTCAGTGGAGTTACAAGACCGTGGCTAGAAAGATGACACACAAAAGTAATTGCACCACAGTGGCCCATCTACAACCTAGAATTTCTGGGTTTGTGTGTGGATGTGGCATTTTCTGCATACTCTAAGTACTAACCACCACCTGTCTGTCAGTTGTTGTACTGTGGTGCTTCATATGTTATGATGCTAGAAACTATGCCACTGGTATTTCAATACTAGCAGGGTAACCCATGGTAGACAGCTTTTAGTGAGCTTCCAGACTAAGACAAACAATAAAGGTCTAGCCATCTACTTCCAAAAATTAGCCAGTGAAAACCTTTTGGGTCACAACAGAACATTGTCCGACTTGCTTGCTTTGGACATGTCATCAGAAGAGATTAATCACTAGACACATCATGTTTGATGAAGTAGAGGGCCAATGAGGGCAAGGGAGACCCTTGGTGAGATAGACTGGCACAATAGCCACAACAGTCGACTCGAACATGCTGGCTATCATGAGGATGCCACAGGACTGGTCAGTATTTTGTTCTGTTGTACATAGTAAGGTCTCTATAAGTTGGAGTTGACTCGACAGCAGCTATCTAATTACTAAGAGTAGAGAAACATACACCCTCCATTTTTCTGTCCTTCACCTGTGCATACCAAACTATCTTTTGTTGTTTTAGAATAAGTAGTGTGTTCATAGGGCTATAATGTTTAAGCACCAGAGCTTTTAGTGACTGTGGGGTCAAGGATATCGTTACTGGCCCACGAGCAACAGACCACATTGCCCCCACCCCTTCAGCCCTGCAGAAACTCCTCAATAAAAGATTTTGATCCCCCCGAAAATAAGCAGTATAAAAAGCTATTAATTAAAAAATTTGACAGTCTCTCTCCCCATCTGTCCAAATGTCCTCTGCCTTCTATAGGTAGTTGCTGTCACTGTATATTTATAAAAAGAAAAGAAAATTTGGTTATTATAATTTTTCCCTGTTCTTAATTTACCGGTTGAATACCATATAATAGTATTCCACAGTTGTTTATTTCACACAAAAATATTCTCTATACTTTTCCCTATTTGTACTTTGTGAGGATCTTCATTCTTTTTTGCAGGTGCATAGTATTCCATTATGTAAACATGCCTTAGATTGACCAGCTTACTCTTGAAGGAAACTTGTTATTTATAATGAGTAAGCTTATAAACAAATAATTTCCTGTATGTCTGTGTTTGTGTGTGTGTGCTTGTGTAGAAGGGAGGGTTGAAACCATGAGGTAAAATAGTAGAAAGCAGATGAGCTTGTCATAGAATTAAATATATTTTTCATTTTGATAAGTATTGTTCCATTGTTCTTCCTACTGGTTGTACCAGTTTTCATTTCCGCTACAAAATATTTGTTCATTTGTCATTCGTTAATTGAGCATGAACTACGTAGCACATACTCTTCTAATCAGCAGTGGACAAAAA